TCAATCAATCAGAGACAGGTAGATTGATGAAGATTAAGCCACCCAAGAGGTGGCACGGGCATGAATAGCCCGTAAGTGGTGGCCCTTTCGAGCCATTATCAGTATCAAAAGATGATACTGGAGATCTGTGGAGGCGCAACTGCACCCTGCGTGACGGGAGATGTCTCCCGGACCAAGTGGTGACCAAATGGTGTACCTGTCTCTCTACGTTCAGGCAATATATAGGTAGAAGAGAGGTGAGGAGCAGAAAATCTTAGATGTAAAAAAGGTATAAGGTGTAATAAAGGGGGATAGTAAGAATAAGCGAATAAGAAGATAAGAACAAAGGTAACTGCACCACAGCACCTGGGCTCACCATAGCCCGTGCTACTTGCCCCGCTCCTGTGCCTCAGGTAAGTTACGGGCTCACCATACCCCGTGCTACTTGGAACCTGTTCCGAGTAGCTGAATCTATAACAACAACAAGGTAACTGCAGAAGACCCATTGGCCCATATGAAGAAAAAAATATAAAAAAACTAAATTTTATTATTGTTGTTTTGCAACCTGGGGACGGTCAATAGTTCAACCATAGGGTGAGGATAGACCTCGATACAACCCTGAATTTTATCAATATATATAGCCACTGGCTTTCTGTCCCCCCAACAAAATGAACTATAGACAATGAGCAGAGCCTTGTCTATAATTGAGCAGAGGCGCAGTGTGGCCGGCACTTGTCCCAGCGCAACACACACACACTGCACTTCAACCATGGAGGAGTACGCCAGAGAACCATGGTCAGTTCACCTTTATTAAATGTTTTTAAGACTTCCTGACAGGCAGGTATGTGTGTGTGTGTGTATATAAGTCTGAGGAGCGAGAGAGATTAGAGATAGAAAGAGAGAAAGAAGGAATAGAGATGGAAGTGTGGAGAGGGCCGGCCCGGGGGGAGCATAAGGTTGCTGGGACATCGTCTGCTGGGCCCCACTGACGCAACACCACCTACACATGCTCCACCTATAAATGCTCCACCACCTTTATATGCTCCACTACCTATACATGCTCCACCTACACATGCCCCACTACCTACACATGCTCCACCTACACATGCCCCACTACCTACACATGCTCCACCTACACATGCTCCACCTATACATGCTCCACCACCTACACATGTGCCACCTGGCCAAGTGATGCTCGGGGGTGGGGGGTAGTTAATACATCATACAATACCATGATTTTATTGCAAGATCTGAGCATAAACGCGGTTTACCTCAACAACCCTAGCTGGTTGTTGGCCAGGCTTCAGCAGACTGTCAGGCTTCAGCAGACTGTCAGGCTTCAGCAGTCAGTGCTAGGTTTCAGCAGACATTGCTAGGTTTCAGCAGACAGCGCTAGGTTTCAGCAGACTGCTAGGCTTCAGCAGTGCTAGGCTTTTACCAACAGTAGGGGTTTTACTTGCCCTTACCTTACTTGCCTTATAGCAATTTTGGGAGCATTCCCAAGTTGGTAATGCTCTTCAAAAAAATTATCTTGCATGTCCATGGGGATTTTGACTAGCAGATTATAATTTATTTGCTTGAACTTACCTAAGGGCCCCTATCTAGTGGTTTCGATGAGGATAGGAAGCCAGCTGCTTGTTGAAAGTCCCCCCCCCCCCCCCCCATTTGTCCTGATTTTGTCGAGCTGGTTGTGCAATTCAGCAGCATTTTGACATTTACGGCTTTTGACAGGTAGGTAGTTCCATGGGGGTTATAACCCTGTGGGTTAAAAGCATCTCCTATTTTCTGTCCTACATTATGGCTTATTGAGCTTGAAACCATTGTTCCTTGTTTGTGTTAAGAACATAAGAATAAAGGTAACTGCAGAAGGCCTATTGGCCCATACGAGGCAGCTCCTATCTATAACCACCCAATCCCACTCATATACATGTCCAACCCACTCTTGAAACAATCGAGGGACCCCACCTCCACCATGTTATGCGGTAATTGGTTCCACAAATCAACAACCCTGTTACCGAACCAGTATTTTCCTACGTCTTTCCTAAATCTAAACTTATCCAATTTATACCCATTGTTTCATGTTGTCTTGTGTTGATAATTTTAATACCCTATTATCTCCTTTGTTATGTCCATTCATCCACTTGTAAAGGGGGGGGGTTACTTTGATCCACCACAGGATTGATAGACAAAAAAGGGGTGGGGGGGGGGTCCTTCTCCCTCTACAACCTGGGACTTAAGGTTATTACTCTATTCCACTCCTCATAGGTCACTACAAAGGGCCTGGGTTTATAAATGAATATACAAAATAAATGTGGATAACCCCCATGTGACACAGCTGAGCACATACACCTGAATTGACAACACACCACTCTCCCTACACACAGGGTTCCAAAAATCCTTATTTCCACAAATTCCTATCCCTAACTCATAAAGAAAAGGGGAAGCACCGCTATAAACCTCTATAATAATGCACTTATCGTATTTGTTGGAGACCATCCACAACACAGGTCTGGTTGTCACTGCCTCCCTCTCCCAAGTGACTGACAGGGGCTGCCACATGTCCCTCCCTGCCTGGTTCCAATAATGTCCCCTCCCTATACATGTCATATACATTTCCCAATACTTCATTTATATGTCTTATAATGTTCCAGGCTGTTTTTCTACATTTAACACTGTTGTTTCTCGATATTTTCTTGCATTGAATCTGCGTTTTCTTAACCATTTTATCCCTTTTGTTTACATTTTTTTTTTTAGGAGATTACATTTTTCCTGTTGAGATGATGCTCTGTGCATCTGAAAGGGGTCTGCGTTCCAGACTTTTTTTCAACATTTAACACTGCTATTTCTCCCTACACAAGGGTTTCTCTCTTGCATAATACACTGCTATTTCTCCCTATACAAAGGTCTCTCTTACAACATGGTTGTTGATTTGTGGAACTAATTACCGCGTAATGTGGTGGAAGTGGGGTCCCTCGATTGTTTCAAGCGTGGGTTGGACATGTATATGAGTGGGATTGGGTGGTTATAGATAGGAGCTGCCTCGTATGGGCCAATAGGCCTTCTGCAGCTACCTTTGTTCTTATGTTCTAGAAAAATGTGCCTTGTCAATGCATTTCAGCCAATAAACTGTGCTGCATAGAAAATGAACTGGCTACACCTTCATTACCTGGCCATATTAAATTGGAAAATGTAAAATTATTCATCTTTTGTAACCCCAGGTAATTCATGCACAAGGAATCATTCTTTATAGGTACAGTACTGTAGTTAAATAAGGATGCTTTTTGGCAAATATCAGAGGCTGTTGGGAAAAAATTCTTCAGTTCTCTGGTAAACCCCAGTTGGAACAATACCCAGATGTGTGTACACAGCTGAAGGGTTTAGCCGAGACTACCTTTAGGCAGAGTACAGTATTGGATGACGTGTTTTAGCATCGCCGAAATGTTTGCTGTCAGAAGTGTTAATAGCTGAAATATATTTAAATTGTTGTTACCTTGATTGTTGGGGTGCCTTGTTGTTATTGGGGCGCCTGACAGATGAGTGGACAGCACTTCGGATTTGTAGTCCTGAGGTCCCGGGTTCGATCCTTGGTGGAGGCAGAGACAAATGAGCAAAAAAATTTGTTCACCCTGATGCCTCTGTTACCTAGCAGTAAATAGGTACTTGGGAGTTAGACAGCTGCTACGGACTGCTTCCTGGGGGTGTGTAAAAAAAAAAAAGGCCTGGTTGAGGATCGGGCCATGGGGACGCTAAGCCCCGAAATCATCTCAAGATAACCTGAAGATAACCCATCAAGAGAATGGGTACTTTTAAACCTAAGTAACAAATATGTTTGTCCTGTGTTTTGTAATAAACAAGATTTTCTATCTTCTGTACTGTTAATACACACAAAAGAAGCAGTGTACATACTGTAATAGGCTAACAAGTAGACTTGGATAACTGACCTTTGTTCATTTCACAGCCCATGGCGTATTGTGGACGACTGTGGTGGCGCTTTTACAATGGGCGTTATTGGTGGAGGACTCTTCCAGGCAGTTAAAGGATTCAGAAATGCTCCAAGTGTAAGTTAAGCTTGTACTCTACTGTTCTGTATAGTAAAGGTATTGTGTGTATTGTCTGAATATACAGTATCTCAAATTAGCTGCTGTGTGTCATTTGTTTTGAGTAATTCAATGATGAAGCTCACAAGACTGGCTAGTATTATTTATAATTTATGTCTTGCAAGCAAATCTAAATGAACAGGATAGAGTAAAAATATAAAATTGCGAACTTTTCAATAAGTGTAAATTAAAGATGCCAAAGTTCATTGTTGAAAATTATTGATACTTAAGATGTTACTGGATATAATACTATGCAAATTTGAATCCTAAAAAGTTACCATTACTGATATTTAAAACACATTACTCATTAGCCTGATTTGAAATTAAATTATTGAATATTGTTGCAATTTATGATAGCATGTTAGTATTTGTGTACAGTTATTATGGAAAAGAAAAGCTATTCACTAGTTGATGGTCTGGTCAACTGGTTGGATGTGGCTGCTCAGACTGATGTATGAATCGCAGCCTGGTTGATCAGGTATCCTTTGGAGGTGTTTATCGAGTTCTCGTGAACACTATAAGAGGTTGGCCAATAATGCCCCTGATGTGTAGTGGAAGTGTGTTGACCCGAGAGACCTCGGTCTCGGGTCTCTGATGTTGATAAAGGTTCTCTCTGAGCACCTGTTGCACCTTTGCTTTTCAACTTGGGTATTCTGCCATGCCTCCAGGTCTCATATGATGTTATTTATGGTGTCTTGTACTGTATTGTACTGACATTTCTAATAAGGAAACCAACTGTTGTCTGAGTTGGCCATGACATGTCTAATAGGAAGGCAACTGTACATTCATAACGAGTACTGTAATTATATGGAAAGCCAAATCATGAAATTAATGTTATGTATTTTGTCCACATATTGGAAATTTTATAACTAAAATTTAGTGTTGAGTGGCATTTGGCTCCTAAACCACATAATTGCTTAGGCTTAATCCATATATGTAATGAATCTTCTACCCAGAATACAATATGTAATTTTTAGGTGAATAATTTGGTATAAACTATGAAGATATAGTACTGTATGTGGAATACTGAAAGCTGGAGTAGGCCTTATTATTAATCTTTGAAAATGACCTGAGACTAAATAAGTTTTTGTTACAGGGCTTTTCCAGGCGGTTTGCTGGAAGCATGGTTGCAGTTAAACAGCGTGCACCTATTGTTGGTGGGCAGTTTGCCGTTTGGGGTGGATTGTTTTCAACTATTGATTGTTCCCTTGTATATATGCGCAAGAAGGAAGACCCTTGGAATTCTATTATCTCGGGTGCTGCGACAGGTGGCATTTTGGCAGCTAGAAGTAAGTTCTAGTTTAGTTTTTTGTTGGTTTCACCAGAAAATGTGTAGGATAATTTAAAAATTTTTTGTAACAAGCGCAACATGTACAGGGAAGAGTAATTATGTTGACAGTTACTTCCATATGAGGAAAGATTTAAGAGGAATTTCTCATAATGATGCACAGGCTATTGAAATATATTTGCCTGTATATTTTGAGATACAGTATTGCACCATAATCTTAGAAATCAAAAATATTATTTTTAGGTACATTATTCATTTTATCTCTCTTGATCTATGTAAGCCGACATATTATGCCAGCCCCCACATTCGAGCAGCAAGTCTAGTGATGTGTCTTGTGACTTGGTGTAGCCTAACTTGCAGCATAATCACAGTTTTGCACTATAAGTTAGTTTTATTATGATTATGGATTGAAGTGACCCGAATGTGATATAGCAAATAAAGCCAAGACCCAACCCCTAATTGTTCCATAGCCACATCAGGAAGAAAACAACAGTTTAGGAACAGGCTATGAAATTTTGGTTATTGGAAGGGCACTAGAGAAATTGACAGGAAATTGTGTGAGAAACTAGACTTAAGATTGTGAAGTCTTCACAATAAGGTAAGGGAAAGTGTCTGAGCTGAGTGGGAAGGTGTGAAACCAAGTAGCACTGGAGGACTTTCGAGATTACCAGAGATGAAGTAAGGAGGCATCTGCTAGAACAGGACATGACTGTCAGATCAGACAGGGGCCTTGCTCTGAGTACTGAGAGGCAGCTTAACCCCAGTACTGAGCAGCCTTCACACGAGACCCTCTTGTGGTGTGCGAGAAATTTTAATTTTCTTTTTTCTTTTCTGATATTGTTAAAATGGGTTCGTGGATCATGGAAAAAGTACAAAAAAATAAATAATAAGACATACATTGGCTGTGATGGAGCAAAGCAGTTGAGCAGTTTATGGGCTCTTGAGTGAGTAGGCACTCGGTACATGTGGCGCTAGCTCAAGTGACCCCATAGGGTGGTATTTGCAGCAAATATAATTTTGCATAATTATTTTAATGGTTCTTGACATTGAGAGGCCTGGCCCAGGGTCAATGGGAGAGTAGAACTACTCCCAGAACTCAATGATATGATCAAGGTTTTCCTATAATGTTATTTAGTAGTGTGTAATTTGAGAAATTTATATAATCAAATGTGTGAAACATCACACCTGGCCTCAGTCCGGTCTCGGGAAGTAGAACTCCCAGAACCCTCTCCAGGTATCATTATGCTCAAAAATATGGTGTGCATATTAGTCGCACACAGAACAAATTCTTAGGACAATAAAAGACAGTTTTTGCTGTTATTACACTATACACACACACACACACACACACACAACCATCTACATTTGTATGCACCATTATGAACCACTAAGCATTTCTGGTGAGTGTACTAACAGTATAACTGGTTATCAGAGTTCAGCCTAGTCCTGCACTGTTTACATGAAATTGTAACAGCATTCATTGAATATATTTTATTTTCTTTGCATTGTTAATGTTTTTATCATGTATTTTTTTTTTTTTCTGTTAGTGTAATAATGCAATGAGCTGTCAAGAATATTATTTGTCACAGAGTGTGACAAATAATATTAACACTATCGCCTGCGCCACAGACTTTGACGTCATGGGGCTATTGGTGTGTGCGAGCGTGCGGCGGTCTAAATGTGTATACTCGTTTCAGTATTCTCACCTTAATTCTCGTGCTACGTCATTCGTTTTGGTATCGTTGTGTTCACAATTAAATTCCCTGCAGATGTATATGCATATAATGTCCAAAAGCCTGGCGAGACTCACCGCAGCAAAGCCTAAAGTTACCCGTGAAAGAGCATCAATTTGCACATCACAACCGAATGTGTATACTCGTTCAGTTTGATAACATCAATTTTCATGTTACATTGCTCGTTTTGGTATCAAATTGTTTGCAATATAAAGGCGCGCATTTTGAAACTAGTCTCATAATAATAGAGCAATAACTGTAATTTTAACAAATATTTTAATTTTGGACCCTCATCATCAAAATTATTTATCTTTCTAGTATTCTGACATCAATTTTCATGTTACATCGCTCGTTTTGGTATCAAATTGTTCGCAATATAAAGGCGCACATTTTAAAACTAGTCCCATAATAATAGCACAATAAATAGAATTTAACCAAATATTTTAAAATTTAAAATTTAGACCCAAAAACGTATTTATAATCTTTAGTGTTCTGACATCAGGTTTCGTGTTACATCTTTCATTTTGGTTTCAAATTGTGCGCATTCTAAAGGTGCTTATTTTGAACTATCCCGAGGTCGATCGGATAAAAAATGAATTTTATACAAATATTTTTTACTCATATTTGATTCGCTCAAATATTTGAGTAAAATATTTTGACTTGCTCCCAGAAGGTATTTTGCAATTGCTCTCATTCTTTGATAATCTTCATTGGCTACCTTATATAAGTGATCATCCTGGACCTTTGTATGGGCTTCTAGAATTGTATTGAATCTTGATAAATTGTGATCATATGTACAGGTAAACATCTATCGATATGATTTGTCTTCTGTTGTTGGCACAAAAATTTAGAATTCTATTTCCTCTGGGTGGGCATCAGTTACATGCTGTATTCTGTATAAGATCAAGAAATTACTCTTCTGTGTGCGCTGTTATATTCACAGTATATTGTCTTGTGGTAAAATCTTCCGTTACAGGACTTGTGATTCAGCTATAGCCTCCTCTTCTGTTACTGTGCTATGAAACATTTCCTTAGTTTACTACCATTTTGAAATATTGGTCCACAGATTCTGAGCATCCCATGTTTGATTTCTTGTTATTGGTTGTTGTCGAGTTCTTTTATGTATGGTATTACATCACCTGTTATTGTTCTGGCCTTTCTGAAAGGTGGAATTCCAATTCTGTTATCTCTTCAGGTTTAGCTGTTCTTGGTAATGCCAGGATTCTCAACCTCAGTGTATGTGCACAATGTGTCAGATCTATTTAGTAAGCTACTGACTTTTGTGTAGATATTTTACACTGCCATTGTTCTTGTTCCTACAGGGCCGAGATATTGATCCTGCACAATATTATTTTGAACGTTGTATTGTCCCTTTGGTTTTGTGCCCCTTTTTTTTTTTTTCTTCTCCCCAAATTTTTATCTTTACTACGAGGTCTTGAGGATGTGTGTGTTTTATCCACTGTTAATTTAGATTAGATTTTGTACTTTTAAGTACAATACATGTATTCAGTCTGTGCTTGAGAGTTGGAGGGGTATGCTTACGAAGTTTGTTCCGCGCTTGCCTAATCTCTTAACAACCTCTTACTTACAACCTCTTTCAACCTCTTTTAAAATGTTAATCTAGAGGATAATCGAACAGCGTAATCTTTTTATTTTTTATTCCTAAAAGTTAATTTTTTATTGATGAAATATATCTATTTCATCAGATCATTCTGCCCATATTTTCTTATAAATTGTTTTCCTCTTTATCCTCCATATTAGTGCTGGGTTTATTGACTTTAGTACAGTTAAAGTGAAATAAACCTTTGTTTTTTGTTTTAATCATTGTTGAATGCGTGTCAATTTATCAGATGTTTTATCATTGTGGTACATCATTTAGCAATCATCATATGGCTTTAGTTCTGGGTTCTATACCAGATACATAACTCACGTTTGCTATTGCTTGCCATAACTGCTACCTTAAATTCATGGTATGTTTTTGGTAACAATATACCATAATTATATTATATATACAGGGGTACCTCGGTTTAAGAGTTTAGTCTGTTCCTGGAGACGGCTCGTAACCCGAAAACTCGTAAACCGAAGTCAATTTCCTTGTAAGAAATAATGGGAAATTAATTAATCCGTTCCTGACTACCCAAAAACCTCACTTCAAACTAAATTTTATACCTAATTCATCGAAATTTACACTACAAAAGTATATTCAAGTTATTACTTACCCTTGCTGATGACTGCTGTTGGTGTATGGAAGATGGTGAGGAAGAGGGAGGAGGAGAGGTGTTACAGTTTAGAAGGGAGTCCCTTCCATTATAACATCAAGCAGTGAGCACCTCTCTGGAGTGCATTTGCTGGCATGTTTTGCCTGCATACCACTAGGACGTGCTTGTGGCTCACTGCTTGCTTGTCTTACTAAGAAATTGTCTAAAGACATTTGTTTTTCCCTACATTTTAACACTTGTCTATAATAAGACATCACATTGTTATTTAAAAGGTCAATGCAATGGTCTGCTACAGCTTTATCTGGGAGAGTTTTTTCAACAAAACTTTGCAGTTCTTCCCATACTTCACACATTTTCTTAATGAGGAAGGGACATCCTCTACTGCCTCTACTCACAACTATTTTCTTAGGTTGAATCTTACCACTGGATTTCTTGGGACCCATTGCGAGATATATAATAACTTTTATGCTCAAATATCCAACAAAACACTGTAAATCATGGTGAAGAATTCAGGCAGGATAGTCACCGAGTGTGAGGCACTGGTAAACTGAGGGGCGATCGCTGTGCTACCATGTGCTAGGTCGGCCCATATGCGTATCAACACGCACATATCCAGATGCAAATTTTCTGAGCAAATCCTACTCGTAACCCGAAAAACTCATAACCAGGGACGCTCGTAATCCAAGGTACCACTGTATATATATATATATCATATATTACACCCACCCACCCACCCTCCTTGAGTGAGGGTGGATACTATGTACTTTCTGAAAAGCTTTGAAGCCTCCCCCTATCCCCTCCATCTCTGTCCTGCCTAAATCAATCTAAATTTCTCCTTAGCTAATGATATAAGTACTGTACAGGGTTTGCATTCTTGATCAGATACTTAAATGTGTTGTGAAAACTTGCTTTTTTTTATACAGTATTTAACTTACAGCTTTTATTTGCAGGTGGAGCAGCAGCAATGGCAGGTAGTGCAGTTATTGGTGGAATGCTACTAGCCATGATTGAAGGTGTTGGTATCCTCCTCACACGCTTTGCTTCAGATCAGTTCAAGCCAATAGCACCAGGGGAGATGGGTGATCCCTCAGTCTTAGGTCCTCCTCAACCCATTACCTTAAACTCTGAACCAAATTACCAATGATTGCATTTAATTTAGAAATTCCATTCAGCTATACAAATGAATGTTTATTTTAGTTCCAGTAAAAAGTTTTGTTAATTGTAGAAGACATTTTACTTGTTCTTCCGATACAAATATAGAAAATCTCATTCAAATTTTACTTATTCTTCCAATACAATATAGAAAATCTCATTGCGTGCTTTAAAATCGGTGTTAAATTTTAACTAATCCTACCAGAAAGTTGGAATTAGTCTTCAAAAGTCACCTTTTGAATTTTAGTAATTAGCCGAGCAATATTCCATATTAGTTTCAATTACTTTAAAATTTTACTTTTTGGTTGACTTCAGCAGCTGTAATCACCATCTCCATTGTTTCTTAACGTTCCTTTTGAGAAGGCATGGTAATTACAGCTGTTGCCTTCCAAAGTTATAAATTTTTCAGCAAGAAAGCTAATTATACATACATTTATTACTCAAAAGAAAGTGAAAAATGTAAAGTTAACACTTTGGTGATCAGGCCTCTCTGGATGTTCTCGACAGTAAACTTTCTGGAATCCATGGGTGGCTCAGGGATGCAAAAAAAGTTTACAATCATTTAATGTTTTCTAAGTTACTTGTTGGGTTATAGCTATAAATTTGATACAAAGAGAGTAATCACACTAATGTGACTGCATCAATGAGAAAATCAGTAGGGAACGCTGCACGGTCCCATGAATCCTGTGTGGGGGGAACACACACTGCTTAGGTTCAAACCGTCATCACGGCGCCCACAGATTTTCTCTTATAAATTTGATGTCGAAATGTTTGCATGTTATTTCTGTCGCCGTCATGCATAATATACGTTTACGAATTGCGATGAGATGACATGTTTTAGTATTGTTATGTTTATTGTCAGTATGAATAATGCGTTTGCGTTATCAGAATGTAAAAGTGTTAAAAATGCTAATGTATTTAAGTGTTTAGACTGGTGAATGTTGTCAATTTATCTTGGAAGCATTGCTTCATTCTCATGTTGGGTAATATGGCAAGTTGATTTCCTTTGCTTCATGATGTGAGAATCTAGCATATGTGGAGCATTTTTCTCCATGTAAATACTGTACAGTGTATCTGCAGAAAATGAGCTAAAGCTATCACTGTTAAAATTTAAGTTATATTTTACTTTTAATGTATTTCAGTTTGTGTAATATAATTTGAGATGTATTACTTTTCAAATGGAAATATTTTGTACAAAATAAAAACCTAGAATATTTTGAAGCATGATTATATGCTAACCAAATGCATAAATACACTGGTGTCGTATACTGTTTTCAGATGTGCACTATATACATTAACACACTTTCAGTGTTTTGACACGATGGCATTGGATGTTCCATACACAACATTCAGTGCCACATGTACCTGGAGGTTACCTTGAGCTTACCTTGAGTTACCTTTACCTTATGTAGTTTGAAAGGTTTGCTGGTCTGTACTTTACATGCAAGCATCTCTTGACTTGTATATCCAATACATGTATCACTTTCTCCCCCACACTCATGAAATGCTCAGCTTTACAGTTACAGCCCAGCTCCTGTGCCAGGTAAGTCCACTATGGGCTCACCATGGCCTGTGCTACTTGGAAACATTTTGTTCTGAGGTAGCTGAATCTAGAATGACAAATGCTCGGCAGTATCTTGTCATTTTGAGGTAGATATCCTGCTGGTACTATATACACAATGCTCAAAATGTCAACAGACATGCTGCCAAATATGGAAGACATCCATAATCTACCTTGTTTAAGATCAAAGAAGAATTAAAGGGTGCATCTAAATGCTACTAAAAAAATACATTACATTACTTTCAGTAAAGTAATAGCCTTGGTGTATCTGCAGATATAATAGAAATGTATTACTCTGGACAAGCCACCGTAAACAAAATTTTGTAATCCTTTTTCTTAAATTTGCTACCATGTTGGTGGCCTAAGTGATGAGATTGACTGCAGTTTGTCATGGCATTCATTTCACTTGTGTACAAAACACCTTATGAAGTTAAATTGCCTACATATTGTTTAGGGCAAGATAAAAAAAAAAAAAACACCCAAGGACCTGTAATTATCAAAAGGCACCAAGATGGCAAGAGACTATGTAGCACAATCATAGTTACAGGATATTCAAAAAGGTGCAAATATCACTCAAAAATACCAATGCAAGAACAAATGTGAACAAGACTAGTAATATCAAAGGCATTAGATTCATCAAGGGACAAACCCTTGGTGAATCCGATATCTTTGATATCGCTCGTCTTGTTCACGTTTATTCTTGTATTGGTATTTTTAGTAATATTTTGCACATTTTGAATATCCTGTGACTTTGAATCGAGGGACAAATGACTGCAGGGGACGGTGTGGAAGCAAAGACACGAATGTCCTGAAAATCAAAGATGCACAACTCTAAGAGGGGACATTAACGGAATGCCTGCTCCTTGAAGTGCCCCAAAGTTAAACGTGTATGACCAATACATACCCTCACTAGTCATTTCCAACTAGGTGGTAGGAGTAAGGCCAAGGGGACAGGCTATCCTTAAGAGCATGCACTTTGTCACCAGTAACACAAGACCAACAACCCTGCCAATGGTCACAGAGCTAAGAATAAATGGGTAGAAATTGGAATAAGGAATGCCTTTTTTGGGAAATAGATTAAGTGCAAACACCAATATAGTAGGGAACCCAGCAAAACTCAACCTGTTTAGATCTGCTAGAGATTAAAAACAGTCAACGTTGGATTTCAATTGCCACAGGATGCATAGGATGAAATTACTAGAGCCAGGAGAGCACTGCAAGATTCAACCACAATGATAGCGTTGAAGGAAAAGCAGGTAACAGAGAGAGAAAAAATCATACACAATTTAGCCATGAAGATGCTAGCTTCTGAAAGTGGCACGTACATGTTTGGTCTGGAAAGACTGCAGAGTATCCAACACTGGGAGACTTGGGCCCATCTGAATAGAAGGGCAACATAATTTGAGTGAGGGAAAAGGCATTTCATAACAATAGGAGAGGTAGAAGTCTTTACAATGTGGGTCAAAGTTTTGCAAAACTTTGCAAGTGTTGGAGCAAGCAGGGAGCAAGGATGGGACGACACGAGGAGAGATATTGCAAACACAAGCTGAAAGGAATGTTTGCAAGAGACACGTACAGAAAAAGGGTGGTAAAAGGGGAACAAGGTCTACTAGAGGGGCAACAGCCAAAGCCCAGCAAAAGCGAGAATGAGGATGTTTCAGAAACTGAGCAACGTAGTGAAGGCAGTACAGCATCAATCCAGATGATCCTGAAGTGACAAGATGCCAATTTTTACAAGCTCAGGGTAAGGGACGAATGAAAGGCACCAGAGGCAAGGCATAACCTAGCATGGTGCAGAATATCAAGATGTTAAATGGAATAGGTAGGGTAGATATAATCCAGTTTAGACAGCATGAAAGAGGAGTGCAAATAGGAGTGCGTGTCTATTCAGCACCCTAGGAAGTATGGGACAAGACTTAGTAATGTAACTGCCTTAGAGCATCTGACACAGAGGTAAGAGATATGAGGTGACCAAGACAAGCAAATGTCAAAAATCAACACTAAAATCTTAGCATCTTAATAGAGAAAGGGACTACTGTTGAGCGACAATAGGGGACGAAGAACAACCTGCTTCCAAGTAAAAATCATAGCACAAGTCTTGAAAGTAGAGAACCTGAAGCCATAACGGTGGTCCAGGATGATACAGAATCAATTGGAAGTGGAGTTGAAACTGACGTTGAGGGAAAGGGAAGTCATCCCATTAGCAGCAGAGATATTATGAACATAAGGGCCAAGAAAATCATAGGGAAGAAAGCAAGACTATTTAGGGCAATGAGAGAAATAGTAGTGCTCAGAACACAACCCTTGGGAACACATTCGAACAGGGAAAAGGAGGTAGAGAATGTTGAGAGGGGAAGCAGGAAAGGACGAGTGGGAGAGTGTCACGAAGGTCAAAAGAATGAAGCCGGGATAAAACATTGTACCTCCAAGCGGTGTCAACTTTTTTCCAGGTCAAAAAGTACAGCAACCATGAAGGTCTTTGTTGCAAAGGCAGAACAACTAGACCTCTACAGCAGGTCCACAAAACATCAATCATGCTGCGACATTTGTGAAATCCCAATGTGGAGGGGAAGAGGAACTTGCAACTGTCTGAGAACCACATAAGACGGACATTGACCATAGGGTCAATAAGCTTGCAGATGCAGCTCGTCAGGGCAGTGGGACAAAAAACCTTAGGGAAGGTCCCTAGAGTATCAGGTTTCCAAATAGGAAGAACATTTCACTCGAGTCCCTGATGACTCAAGCCAGTCATCAGGGACTGACGACATCTTCCATATACAATTACTGTACTTTATTAACATTGAGTAAATAATGAAAAGTACCTTGAGGGAGATGGCAAAGCATCTCATAATGAATGCCCTCTAAGCACACTGCCTTAGAACCACAGTGGGACAGGGCAGACTGGAGATCAGAAAGAAGATATTGTTACAAGGGGAGCTAGAGGCGAGTGCAAAAGACCAAGAACTCAAGAACATTGGAGATGAATGACAGGCGATAGGTCTGGAACAAATTTACCAGCAATCTAATGGATCTTCCAGACCTGAGGGAGAAGGTTGTCAACTTTAATGGTAGAGACAGAGGAGCTCCAACTTTCCCATTTAGCTGTATGGATGGCCCTATGGGCCCTTGCCTTCTGAAACAAAATAAGAGAATCTAGAGTCAGTCGCCAATATTGTCTTTTTCCAGGCTGTACGCTTACAGCGAACAGCCTAAGCCCAGTCTGAATTCCGAATAAATTATTAAATAAAACACTGAGCCAGGATTATATAGCACTGTCTATGGTACAGAATATTCAAGTGGTCCTAGAGATCATTCTGGACGGTAATAAGAGAAAGACATAGTAGTACTCTGAACATCCTTGAGACTCCATGTTGTCAATGGGGTGAAAATTCATAGGTACCAATCTAGACTTTAATTTTATTTAATTATTTTCTGTAACCTCCATAATGCACTTAATCTTAGACAGTGGTAAGACTTTATGTTCTTACCGTCTTACCACTGGTAAGACAGTAAGTCTTACCAGTAAGGTAAGACAGTGGCTATGTTCTTGGCTCATAAGTGAGGATCCCAAGATTGATCATCAGGTGGGATAAAAATACAATAGTTGCTCAGTGGGAGAAATATTCAAGATCAGTGCCAAATCGATGCCGTACCAATGCCATACTTAAACCTTATGCCCACTGGGTGGGCATATTTCACCCAATGGCTTTGTTCATAGCAATAAATAAAGTACATACCTCGGGAGTTTGGCAACTGTTGTAGGGTTATATCCGAGGGAGGGGTCAGTAATTCAACCTTTGGGGGAAGGTCAGGGGAAGGGAATCCTTGATATGAACCTAATGTATGTACTGTATATACAGAGGCTTTCTGTCCCCCATTAAAATTAATTTATTAAGTTCAACTGCTGCAGATATGGACAAGATAGCCAGTGATCAGATTTTCCTGCTACTACCACCATTAGGGCAATTTTAAAGAAAATAAAAATGTTGAAATAAACATTAGCTGTTTTATGCAAGTAAAAGCCATCATATGACATGCTCCAGTTAAGCAAAACTGCTTAAAAGTGAACTTAACCTATGTAGTACAGTATAGGTGAACCTTTAATACAAGGGATAGGTTCCTGAAAATCGTCTCGTGAAACTGACAACTTCTAGCTTAGGTTTTAACTACAGTATATTATTTTATTATTATTTTTAGTAAACAAAAAGTTTTGTTTTATGTATATGGTAAATAGTGTTCATTGACAATATTTAAGTTAGATCTCAAATATAGTACTTCCATTCTGTAAGTACCATAGGTTTCCAGTTTTCATTACCCTTCATTGGGAAACAAGAAAACTGGACCATTTTCCTGTCTGATGCCATAGGTTTAAATTTATTTGTTTCCGTGTGACGTAAAAACGATATGATATAAACTGGGTCGACATTAAATAAGGTTCATTGTTATTTGTATAGATCATTTAATCCTGAACCCTGATGGAGGGCTGACAATGCTGCAAGATGAGCTAGATCTTGCAAGATGACGACATGCCTGCGAGATTCCAAGCATGACTCAAGTCCCTTTAGTGTACAGGCTGCCCCAAAATGACTGCTTAAACAATTATTTATAAAAATAAAAAATTTATAATATACATATACTGTACAGCATGTATATTATTTATAAAAAAATGAATGTCTGGACTGTCTGAGGTAGGAGGCCAGAGGCTTGAGGTTAGTTTCATCCAGCTTTACAAGATGTCATATGAAGGGTATGAGTGTCATGTGCCAATTGGGAGGACGCACACAAAGAAATATCAACACCTATAGTGACTCCCTGCAATTTACATGGTCTAAAATTTGGGATTTGTTTTTAGAAAAGTTTTAGCAGCTTTTCTTTTATTTCATAAAATTAAATTTTCCTAGGTGCAGGGGAGGGAAGAAAGGTGAAGAGGAGAAGAAATTAGGTTGACACAGGTGGGCACCTCATCTAGCATACGGTACTGTATATGTATATGAAAAGGAATGTCTGTCCAAGTTAAACGGTCAGACACTTGGAGTCAGCTTCACACTCAAATTTCCAAGGCAAAAGTTAAATGATGAATTCCAGCTTTCCATAGTTGGTACTCATCTTTTTGTAACATTACATTTTCTGAGGTAGGGAGAAGGAGAGAGAGAGAGAGAGAGAGACCCAGGTACTGTTGGGTACCCAAATAGTATGCATGTCTGAATTTTGCATCGTCATGTGCATAAAACTAAGTGGAATACAGTACAATATTTAATAAAAATCAATATTATTTTAAATACCATCAAGTATTAATATATAATCAGACTTCACCTGTGTAATGCTCCTTGAGAAGCTGGAGTGCAAGTTGCAGAAATATGTAAATTTTTACCTTACAGTACAGTACAGTATTAGCCTTCACTAAATGCTTGTGTTTCCATGCTGCAATTAATTTATGGTTATACAAAATTATTTCACTATGGAATTAGATTAAGGTGATTAAATAAAATGGTTACAATGTAGGAATGAATAATATGCAGTACTGTATCTTCATATGCCCTTCAGCAAATGGTGGTTTGTGTGGTATTTTACAACTCATCATTTATGAAGGGTTCGAACATCTTGTTACAGTATACTCGTTTGGAAAATTCCACGAGAAATTAAAATTGTGTTGAGTTTCTGACGAGTTAACTTCAGGTTAACAACTCTGAATCTGATTCAGGAAAAAATAAAGAGAAAATAACTGCATGATATCTGTATTTGGTGGGTTACACAAAGTTTTGCTCTTGGAGCAGGTGGAGGGGATGTGCCGAGCTTTGCTGGACACAGGACGACTTCTTACAGGTTAACAACAACAACAGCAGGGCAGAGAACATCTCTCATGTTAGTGCCACATTTGGGTCATGATAACTCTGTCACAGCTGCTAGCATGGCTCATATGCTCAGGTTAATGGGTCATACCAAACAAACTACCATTCAAATAAGAATACGACAGCCACACACCACTGCTAGTCTTTTACACTGTTGAGCACAGCATGTGCCATGATATACCATGGTCACACAAAATGTGTTAGTTGGCTTGGTACATGGTGCAGGTGCCTGTCTTGTAATTACTGTAGTTTGGCAACCTGCATCAAAGTGTGCAGGTCCCTATTGCTACTACTGTAAGTCTGGCTGCTTGCCTTCCTATGTACATGGTGCAAATGCTCATCTTACAGTTACTGTAGTCTAGTAATTTTCCTTCCTTAACATCAATTACTATTGGCTGCTTCTATGTCTTAGACAAATGATGAATTATAAATTGAAATTAGGCAAGCCTTTTGCTAATAGTGCAGATGCTGACTGCAGTTACTATATGACATTTTGCCTCTTATGCACTCATGTTCCAAAGAAGGGATCATTACCCTGATACAAGTGGACAGTATAAGGTTTGGAAGGAAGGAGTCTATACTATGAGAATAGCTACCAGGTATTAATGACAAGCACAAGGGAGTTATTACACCAGGAGTACTCTAGGTGTTAAAACTGGTACACCAAACTTACTTGGGTCTGAAACTGCATGTTTCAGTTCTGAAGCGGAGGTAACATCGAAAAAAAATACCAGCATTAATAATGCTGTTGTGTGAACTTACTTCTGGATACTTTGCACAGTAATGTGACTGTAACTGGCATATAAGCACTTGAACCTAACTGTATTATACTAAAAATGCCAAAACACACCATTACCAAAAACTTGTTGTGTTCTATTTTCATGAGACTATGGAATGAATTTCTATGCATTTAAGCAGAGAAACTCGCATAACATGCAATCTTCTACATAACCAAGGTATGTAGTAATTTGAGCTGTAGCAAAAGAAGCTGAGCCTTCCAACAATTTTCATAACTCGAGTTCATACATCGTTTCATCTAAAACAATAAGTCACTATTAACTGCAATTATCCTCAAATGTTACTTTAATAAACAAACTGACAAAACTACCAGACTGTTGTCTTGAATGCCATATAGGAACAAAGTTGCAACATATGTGAAGAGAACAGCCAAACCAAGTCTTGGTATCCATTGCAGTAAGTCATCTAACCTGTTCACAAAACAGGAAATATTAGACTTACAGAATTACTACCACAAGTATAAAAATGGATGGCTGACTGTCACAAGAATCTAAAAACACTGTCTGTATCTATTTTCTAAATATCAAACATGACTTCATATTAAGTTGGTGCTGTTGTCAAACATGGCAGACATTAACAAACAGGCATAGGACGGGGTCGGGGCGTGGGCACGCTACCCCCAAGACTTTCTACTGGTAATAGTTATACTCTAGTCACTATGTAGATAAGAGTACAACATCCCAAACTGCATAATCTGGTACATTATGATTTAACTCCACTTGTGTATGTGTGTGTATTATATATATATATATATATATTATATATATAATATATATATAATATATAAATATAATATATAAATATAATATATAAATATATATACTGTATAATATATTTATTTATATATATAATATATATATATACAGTATATATAGATGCAGAAAAACCACATGTGAAAAATAGAAAATGCTTAATGCGTTTTTGGCTACATCGCCTTCAGAGCAAACTCTGATGAAGGCGATGTAGCCGATAACGCGTTAAGCATTCTCTATTTTTCACATGTGGTTTTTCTGCATACTTGGATCAGTGTTTATTTTTTTACCATTGTTGCATATGCATGCATATTATATTATATATACAGTATATATATATATATATTTATATTTTATATTATATATATATATATATATATATATATATATATATATATATATATATATATATATATATATATATATATATATATATATATATATATATATATATATATATATATATATATATATATATATATATATATATATATATATATATATATATATATATATATATATATATATATATATATATATATATATATATATATATATATATATATATATATATATATATATATATATATATATATATATATATATATATATATATATATATATATATATATATATATATATATATATATATATATATATATATATATATATATATATATATATATATATATATATATATATATATATATATATATATATATATATATATATATATATATATATATATATATATATATAAAATAATGAAAGCTAATTGCACGGTAGAATTTGGAACATTTCAAGCACACTATCTATTGGCAAGTGTACTGATGGTTTGTCACCTAATTAGATGAAAGCTATCAATCTTATCATTTCTATTAATATATCTATCGTTTAAAACACTTATTTGTCTTTTAAGTACCTTGTTGGTCAAGATCTGCACTGCAGCAGAGCTGTATATTTAGAGACGTCAAGATACCTTCTTGAGTGAATGAAGTAAAACCGCACTTCTTAAAGGAAGCCGCAGGCCACTACAAGGTGTAAATGCCATGATTGCTACACCTGTCCTGCCTGCCTGAGGGTGGTATCATCTTATTTCATAAGGTAGAAAGGCATTTTAATTTGTTCCCCCCTCTGGAAATTGGCTGCTCATTATAGCAAGAATTTTACCATATCCTTTACACTTGCATTTCTTTAAGTAACAAATGATTCTTAATAATTATACTGAAAGGTAGTTTACAGATTTCTTATGAAGTTCAGTATTTATAAAATGTCAAATAAATTAAAATGGCAAAAGTATAGTGCATTTACTGGTAACTGTAGTAATTTTTTAGTTAAATGTCATGTATTGCTTCTTTCATTCAACTGTCAGCAGATAAGGACATTGTACTGTATTAAGTCAAATTCTTCATTTCAATTACCAAAACATTTACAAACACACAATATTGATGCGGTATCAAAAGTCTTAATTCTGTTGCACTTCAAATATCAAACACTGATCATATGCAGGTTTAAAGCACTTGTGGTGCTAAGTTAAAAAAGGGTCTTGCAAGACCAACTAATACACCTCGTATACAATACAGGTAATAATGCTTTAAACCAGATGCCAAATAATTGACATTTAAAATTTTTGGCAAATTAAATTCAACTACAAGAAGCCTTGAAATTCCCAAATACAATAATCCTGCATAATGCTCTACAAACAGTGACCCACACACCTGCGGGTGAGCACTTTTAGGCCCCGACCCCTTTGTTTCACCATTATGTCACTTAGGCAATGGCTGGTGCTGAGAAGTGTTGAGAAATCCAGTATCACAATGTTTACACGTTGTTGAGGGTCAAATTTTAAGCCTCTACTTGAGGAGCAGCACAATGCTTGTTTCAAGCCATTATAATTCATTACTACTTGCTGCTTTTGACAGTTAAATTGACAAAATCACTGTGCTGTTTGTCAAGAAGTGGCTTTCAAAATATTCCCTTAGACATTTAGGCATATGGTAAAATATACCGTAACAACAAGGGGTATAGACCTACTGTGGGTGTATTATGGAGTGGAAGAGGCTGATGTATGGTCTGGATGTCTAGGTGATGTCTTGGATCACAAATCTGAAACAATCTGGTGGAATGTTATAATCTCAAACACCAAAATCCCAAATCAAATGAGAACTGCCTTTGTGGAACTGAATAAACAATTTCAGACTAATACAAATTTCAAAACTATGGTACAGTATATGCACCAACAATTTCTTCAATTATAAAACCTAACAACATTTCCTTCACTTACGACTGAGTATGGCTAACAGTCACTTGACATTAGAATACACTTCCCCAACAGATGTTACAGCAATGTTCCCCAAGATGCTAACATAGGAAGAATAAATCACTGGGGAACCTGAGCAAATTGCTTTTTCCCTATGTTTGTCAGGCCAGAATGCTTCATACCTCTCTAAAGTGAGGGGTCACAGACTTGAGCATCCCACTTTCATTGTCTATTAATGATTTGTGAGTCACCAAAGTATATTATTATCCAGCACCCATTTAACCTAATGCTCTAAATACCAGTTTTAAAATTAACATAAGTTATCAAATGGCATTTTAATACAATTGTAAACCTTAAGAAAAATGGGGTATGAAAATATAACTTAACTGTCCACTGTTAAACTTATCAGGTAAGAAGCCGAAGATTAAAACTGGTACACAAGAAGAAAATATTGTTTGAGGCGCAAGTCTGGCCACAATTGTTAATTTTTCATACCAAACCAAATTAAGCTCAATTGATTTTTACGCAATTTGTGATTTTTTTAAATTATTAAATACGATTTTATGAACTACAATAGCAGGTGCTAAAACTAGTGCATAAATTCTGAGTGCCAATATTTGCTTCGGAACTGTGGCTTGAAATTTTGAGCAATGAGTTATAAAAGCATTTTTTTTTTAATTTCAGTATTTAGCAAATTTAACTATAATACTGAATTAATTTTCTTGCTAAAATCTAGTGGTGGTTCACCTGTTTCAATTAGATATTTGCCATTTCAATGAAAAGCATTGGAACTCAATTTCTAAAGCTAGTAAAGTTCTACTCTTGGCTGGTTAATGCAATGACAAAATTTAACCTAAATTGATAGTCATTGTATTAATTTACTAAAAATTATCTTCCATAAAAGTTGATGTTTTCAGTAATTTTTTTCAGAGTTAATAATACGGTTTACAGCAAAAAGAAACCAATTATAATTTATTATAAGGTGGCTCGAGCATACAAGAACAGATTATCTCAACTGAAGGACATGTAGCTTATGGCTTTATTGTGTACAGAAGATGCTGCACTCTACTGTTGGTCGATATATAACCTTAAATTCTCCAGATTTAAAAATAATCGGGTAAAAGAACATGCAAACTCCAACTGGTAATCTGCAAGTAGAAAAAAATGAAAATCTTGCAAAAACAAATTACTGAATTAGCTTTTTATCAGTGATACAGATCAAGCTATATTTACCGTTGTTCCCATTATGAAAACAAATTAGATTTAGCTGAGAATAATATCTTAATGTAGTAGCAGTGCTCTTGATGGGTCAACTTACAGATGCTTGTAGATGGCAGTGACAGTTTTTTTTTTTTTAAACTATGAAGCAAACTCTAAAGGGCCAATTACCTTAAATTAGAAAAAACCCTGAAATACAAGGTGTGACCCAAATGTTCAGAAAGGGGTTTTCCTGTATATATATATCAAGATGCATAAATTAAATTATCTGAGTGCATGGCTGGTGTGCCTTGGAACTCAGCCCCCCCCTCCCTCACAGTACTGCATCATCTCGTTCTCGTGTGTCACTAAGCAAGCAGGAGTGCGGTCACAAGCAGGAGTGCGGTCAGTACTTGGGGTGCATAGCAAATGTTTCCTTATAGGCTTGGTGCGCCACACCTTTTATTCCAACATACTAACAACTAGGATTTTGAATATGACTTTTTTTTACAATGCTTCAGTGTAAAAGTAAACCCAACTGACAGTCTTTCTTTACCAAATAAATTCCCGGTGTGCCAGGGGCCCCCACTGTGAATTGTGCCAAGTACCACCACCTTTTAGTACACAGCACCACTGAAAAAACATAATGATGATGTGTACCATTTTGGATGTGAAGTCCCGAGAAGAGAAGTATTCACTCAGATTATGCCATTCACTTTTGACACCCACTGTGCTCGTAAAATAAGTATAATTAGACTTGGAACGTTCTGGTCACACTTTGTACTCCGAGTCAACAACACTTGCATAAATAATATGCAAGATATTTCACAGCTTATGCATTTCTGCATCAGTTACCTGAATTTTACTAACTTTAGACAAAATTCTGACGTCTTTGGTTGTTTAAACAATATAAATCATAAACAAATGTTAACGACCAATAATAAATATATATTAGTAAATAAATTCAATTCTACAACATGTCACGTTCAGCAAATATACAAACACAAACTGACAGGAACATGGTAGCTAAAACAGCTACCCTTAAACTAGATTCACAGCACTCCAAAATTAGAAGCTATTCAGCAGGACAGAATGATTTCATACACCTCCTAAGTCCTCAAACACATGATCATCAAGACCCCTGCAGGGGTTGATCAGTAAAAATTCTCTAGAGACTGTTGCATTTGCAATTATTCTACCTGCATCACTGTGACCACTGTCATTAAATGTTAGCGATCTATCAACTGGGAAACTTGTATCGTCCTGCACATCACTCGTTGAGGAATTGAGTGAGAGGGGCCCACTATGTTGGTGAGCAAAGGCAAGGTTACCCTGTAGGGCAGGTGAGGCACTGGCAGTATGAGCCTGGCTAGTTTGGGTCACCTGTGAGCATGCAGGGTAAGTATCACGCTCCACATGTGCAGGTGAGCAACAAGTAGGGGAGTGATTAGTAGCTGTTCTGGAATCTTTATCAACACTGACTGAGGGGGTCATTATGTGGTGGCTGGGCTCTGGGAAAGGCTGTGCTACACTGCTGATGTGATGGTCTGGATCTTGAAAAGTCTGTAATACACTGCTTGTCATATGGTTTGAGTCGGTCTCTTGTGGACCCGAGATGTGAATATTGTCGAGAGGTTGGAGGTCAGGGAGATCCTGGTTGGACAATGGTGGGTTGGGAGAAGTGGCCTGGGAGGTCTGGGAGGCACGATCCATCACAGGCTGAGGTACACCGGGGAAGCCTGGCAGGAGGGCTGGTGCAGTGGGAAGATTATCCTCTAACTCTCCTTGTGAAGGATGAAGCACCTGAATAGGAACACCATTCTCTTCACCTGCAGCTCCAGAGGAAGCACTATCTTCATTATCAGAAGCAGCAGCAGCAGCTGCTGCCATACATTGCTCAACTCTTTCCGAATAATAATGTGGCGAGCAAAGGTAATCTTTCAGTCGCTGAGGTAGAGGGAGCTCACTTATCAGATCACGACGAACATGTTTCACAATCACAAACCTGACAAAGAAAACCGCCCTTGCATTTCAGAGTAATTTTAACAGATACATATTTGTATTATAAATTTCAGACAAGTGTAGTGAATTCTTTCTTTATTACAGTAATGCACAAAACAAGTATAAGAAACAATGACTAAAGCACCGACAAATATCACAAGCAAGTACACTTATGTATAATAAGTCAATGTTTTGTAAATGTGTTTGAGAAAAGTGAGAATTTTCCTTTCCATTTTGAGAAAATATAATGGTCTAAGCTATTGTATTCATGACATCTTCACGCACTTCCACATGCAGAAAATTAACATACCGACAAAGATGCTGAAGACTCTGAATGTGCTTAAATCGAGATACAGGATGAAGGAGCTGAACCCTCATGGGCCCCAGCACAGGGCGACGGTGCAAGAAGAACAAGTAGCGACCACTGCGAGAATGTTCTACGGCATTCTCTATAAATTCCACAATGGTCTGGCTTTTGAACTTTGTAAACCCACCAAAACTGAAGTTACCTGTGGTATACAGAAGTTTATATCAATGTCAATATTAAGATGATACAAGTTAATATGTAAAATATATTTATGTCTTATCTATTGCTGATTTAATGGGACTCTTATCATAAATTTTAATTATACTTAACCATGCTTAACACTGTAAATGTTAGGCATTTACAGTGCAACCCCCTGCAAGCACTGACCAATTTGAGGCTCATCCCTTTGAGGCCAGAGCCCTGGAAACAGAAGGCCTATGACACCTATGTTAACCGGGTTAAATATGACATACTAATTATATAAAATCCTATTTTGATACTGTACATTAATAATTTGATGTTGTACATAAGTTTTGTTATAGCCTGCCACTCCAGCCTATTCTTTAAATTTCCCATTCTGTAAAATATGCAACTGTTTTGCCTAACCAGAAACATATGTACCCCATGTAACTCACCTACCCTATTGAGGCTGATGTAATGAAATATCAACTTTATGGTGATCTAATTTTTACTCAGTACTTAACATTTTTAACGGATAGGTCGTGTTAAAAAGTGTGATGTATTAGGCGAGAGGATGGGTTACTTGAGGAAGTTCACATGAGGGAATTAAATATCAGATACACAGATAAAGTAAAACCCAGAAGAGAAGTCCTACCTTGATCATGCTCAATCCTCACATGTCGTATGAAGCCATTAAGCTTAAAGGTGAGAGAGAAGATATAATGGTGATCAGACGAGTCTCTCACTATGAAGGATCCATCGGGTTCATTTGCCAACACTTTCTCTGCTGCTTCCCCACTGATTGGACCCCAGTACCACCCACACTGCAAAAAAACACACAATAACAACAGTGAAATCCTTAACTACATGTAGGTGTCGGGTTCATCAACAAAAATGGGTTCAATTCTTAAATCCGTTGTCTTTTGCTCAGTAAAAGGCAATATTTTTGTAGGCATATTAGAAATCAGGGTGAGAGAATTGTCTTTTCCTCCCTAGGAAGAGACTAAAGTCTCCTACTTAGCAGCCTCTGTCATCCAACAGGCTTGGAAAGGAGTTTGTTTTTGAGCAGGACAAGTTGGCTAGACTCCACACTTTCCTGGTTGGAGAGAAAGCTCAACGCAAGACATTGGCTGAGGATCCAACCTAGTTACATTTTAACCCTTCTTGAGCTATGGCTGATTAAACTTATCTCAGGATAGGATGGATGCTGTATCTTCTGTTCAATTTGAAAATTACAGTACGTGTTCTTTCTACCCTGTATTCAGTTCAGAGTTTCTATGGAAGGGGATGATGTACTGGTGCAATGCAAGAATAGTACTCTCACTCTTTCCTTTTTGTTGATCATGTTAGGAGGAATTTGATACACAGAGAAATCACATTAAAGTGCTATATCAAAGAACAAATTCACAGGCACCTTGATGAAGGTTCGAACCCATGCGCCGAGTGTTCCCAGACGCTCTAGTCTAGTTTTTTCAGGAATTTGATAATGTGCTTGTTATGCTTTCCCATTGTCAGGGAAAGAAAACCTGTACTTAGGCATATGGCTATGCCCCTAGGCCAAGTACTGACCTCCTTCAGGGTCAGTATTTGAATGTTAGACAACCCACAAGAGTTGTCTAACTTTCGGGTACCTATTTACTGCATGGAGGACACACACATCACATGAAAAGAAAATTTGCCACTTCTGTCCTACCATGAGAATATAACCCATGAATTTTCACCTCTGCTTCCATTTAGTTCCTTGTCCTTAGGTTCTTTGCACTTGCAGGGGATTGCACTTTGGCTCTTTAGTCCCACATCTCAACATCAATCAACTGGTGTATAGATTCCTGAGCCTATGTGGCAGTTGTAGTCTTTTACCGGTTCTTGAAAGGAAGGAGGCGTCTACGTTGTCAATGTGGGGTTAATGAGGTAGGACTTTGATGTCATTAATAAAGCCCTCTTATTTCCCAATTCAGTTTTTGGAGTTGTCTGTCTGAAAGCTTCATATTCAAATTCTTTAACCGTTGCAGCATCGCATTGTAGCAAACTGTAAAGCATGTACTTGCCTGGTGGAGGTTCTTAATCACTTGTGCCTGCTCCAAATTATTCTCCTCTCAGTTTGAGCCAGAGTATGTAGAGCTAGCTGGTAAGGATGAGCGAGTTTTCTGTTCTTATCCGTGTGTTGTCAGCAGCTGTGGCTTTGCATAGGATGGTTGCTCCAATCCTCCTTGATTCAGTTATCAGCTTCTTTGCAGCATTAAGTCAGTTTGAGGCATGCACTATGGTAAGTCTATCTATTGGTCTCTTGTTGTCACATAAGATGGATGCATCACACAAGTGTTCTTGTTGCCAGGAGTGGCTAATGACAGGAAGTGGTCAACAACTGGCAGTATGAGGTGGCACGAGGTAAAAGTACTGAAAACGTTTACTACAGTATTACTCCATTTTAGTCTGTATATTTTTAAATCCCTCCTTACTCTTTTCAGCAAACATTTTCCACATCAATTTCCTACACACACTACTTTTTTTTGTAACTATCAAACTCTCAGCAAAGCAGTAGATTTCAAATACAAAAATTTATAATTTATTTATTATTTGGCTATTATCTGTATCTGTATTTTACTTATAATACATTTCGTGAGAAGTTCTACCTCCCAAGCATGGCCACAGGCTAGGCTTGGCTTAGAGCGGCCAGCAGGCCCACATATCAATTACAACCTGGCTGATCCAGCGCTTCCTACCATTTAAGCTCGCTCATCTCTCCTACTGCCCCATTAACGAAAATACGGTGACACTATTCATATTAAGTGCACCTACAGCTATATTCAATCCAATCACTCTCTGCAGGTACTAATTGCAAAACATACATCTCATAGCGCTTTGTAATCTTAAGAGCACACTAATTTGGAAAAGTAAAACCAGTCACACTACAAATTAATGGCATATTGGAGATTCCCCAGAAACAAGGTGGTCCTAGAGTGAAATATAAGTGAACCATATGTAATCAAGCACTGTATTTATCCAATTGTTTAGCTAAAGTAGCATTCAAGTACTGTATTATGGATTATGATAAATAACTAACATTTATACAGAAACAATATTTTGAATATGGTAGTAAAGCACTGCTCATGCAATTTTGCACTAGCCCTCTTACAGACAAAATCAGAATTAACATTTATTAACCTGAGAAATCAGTGAATACTTACATCCTTTACTTTTTCAATTATTGAAGCAAAATCGCAGCCCTCCTCTTCTCTGCGCTCTCCACCAGCTTCAGTTTCTGTGGTTTTAGCAGTGGTATCCTCTTCCTCAGCAGTGGGCAGAGGAAGGGGAGGCAATGCTCGGTTCGTCACAATGGCTGGAGACCGAGACGGAGCTAAATTTTGCTGTGGTGCATTGGCTGTTACGATGGGCTGATCATCAGTTTCTGTCCGAAGATTACCCAGGCATGACAGCAAACCGGTGTTAATGCCATTAGAGTGGCGGTGGTTACTGTGGTGGTTCTGCTGATTGTGATTGTTTCTGGTGATGGTGGTTGTTGTATGGTTGGTTGTATGGTTGGGTTGCGGACCTGAGGCGGGGGAGCAGACAAGGGTTGTAGTCCCGTTGCCTGCAATTTCTGAAAATCCCTGAGTTGCAGCATCCACACAGTTCCCACTTTTCAATCTTGTGCCACTGGATTTAGCCCCTCTTTTGAGGCCAAATATGGTAATTAGAGTATTACGAATATTACTAGATATACTTTTGCCTTTCTTTCGGTTATCGTCAAGACGGTTCTCAGAACCATCTTTTCTCTTACATGACTTCATTGATGTGAAAGGAATTATTCTGCATATTTTAGACTGTTCATGAACACCTTTATGACTCTGCTGAACCCTACTAGTCTTACTACAGTTTATTGTATCATCTGACTCGTGGAAAGATTTCCTAACCTCCTCCAGAGTCATATGAATGGGCTCATGATTTTCTTTACTTGCACCATGTTTAGGAGTCATACTAAGAGCACAACCAATGTTACTGGGTACACTGTGACGCTTACTGACCTTCAACAAGTCACCGCTGGCAGATGCAACTGACTGACCCGAGTGCTGTCTGCTTCTAGTTATACTACTATCCTTGAATTGTCTGCTACCACTAATATGATCAGAACTACTAACTTTTTTTGAACTATTATCATTTAACACACTAGCACTAGTACTGTTCTTAGCATGTCTCCTATGATGTCTCTTTTTGGGCTGATGCATAATGGCCTTTGGGTGTAATATTTGCCCCTCTTTATTAGGCTTTACTACATCTACTGGCACTGCATAGATATCTCCATCCAGTGGCACATTGTAAATGTCACTTACATCACTGTGGGAGGTTTTGGAAGTAGGAAAGAGCAAGGCATCGTGTGACACAGCGCCGGTGATGAGGTGAGAGTCGTCCATGCGAGGGCCAGAACTTACCAGCGAGTCATGGGAGAAGGAAAGGCTGGAGCCCAAAGATGATCTGGAGTGTGGTCGGTGTGAAGGACTGTAAGGTAGCTCTGGAGTCCAGCACAAACCAGGACTCCCACAAGACAACCCCAAAAGTGGGATGCTGGACTTACGATTACCTCTGCCTCCCCCCACAGTCCACCAACTACTCTCTTTTCTCTGATACTCTTCCCGACACTGTTCACGCTGACACTGGCCTGAGCACTTGATTGACCAACCTATAGAAGAACTCACTGAAAGAGCCTCTTCTATAACCTGTTTTACAAATAATGTTGCAAATTTGTCGATCCAAACACAGCCTTCTCTTGCCATGCATTCTAAATCACTGTCACCAATAGTTGTTAGATTGTCTGTTTCTTTAGTTTTTCTTAATATACGATTTAAACTATAATTCTCCTGTAACAATGCTTGAGTGTCTTTTATATAAAACCTTTTATCATAAAATGCCTCATCACGAGCACAAAATTCTGTAAAAACTCGCCCACTATGCAATTTATCATTACTTGGAACCGAGTTCACAGTTATTACACAGTTTTGCCTGTTCTTTCCAGCTTGCTCAACTCCTGGCTGCAGAGGGCCGGTGTGAGGACTTAGGGCACTAGGGTGAAGTGGTATCACAGATGAAAAAGCTTCCTTGGGGTTGTCTCTTGGGGATGAGGAATGCCTCTCGGAGTCCTGACCTACAATGAGCACAGTAGGCCCAGTGATGTCTATATCTTGGGGTGGGAGATGATGCTGCGGAGTGGGACTCTGATGGGTAGGTACTGGACTGTGACAAGAGACTGTAGGGCTATGGTGACTCGGCGTTGGGCTATGACGAGGGGAGGAGGGGCTGTGGTGTGAGGGTGATGGACTGTGATTGAGAGTTGTGGGGCTCTCAGAATGAGGCCACAGCTCTGGTAGAACTTCCAGGCCAGCTGGATCACCATCCAGGGAGCCCAGCCACACCTCACTTGTCCCACTACTTACGCTGCTCCCAGCCTGAAATGTGACACGGTATCTCTTATATATATTACTAATCAGTTAACCAATTAAATCAATATCATGGTACCTTTTTCCAACATTTAGAGCAATAGTGCTATATGTTGGCTACCGGGTACCTTTTTGCCCTAAAGAGCTAATGGCAATGCTTGATACACGAGAATTCTGCATAAACAGTAGTTATTAAACAAGTAATCAATACATAGTATTTTGTCTTTAATATCAAGTAGAATTTTCACAAACTTATGTTAAAAATCATTTAAACTTCATTATAAAAATCTGGAGACAATTTCAATTTACGTTTTCCCTGTAATGAAGCTTTACGTTAAAAGTACAGTATTAAAACATCAAGCCAACCGGTGAGTATGTGTACTGGCCTTAATTTTATGATTCACAGGTAAAATGCTACCACCAGGTTTCACTCGCTGCTAGCACCCATTTTGCAGTATTACTCTTAAGAACTTACATCACCAAATGTATTACTGTACTCTAATGTACTGCATTTACAAGAAATTATTGCCTCTCAAGCCACTGCAAAGAAGGTTACACTCTGGTTACTTTTGTAAAACAGCAACTCGGCAGAAAATCTAAGAATAATTTGGAATAGCATACAATCAAGAAGCTTGCAGGGTCTGTGCTTAATTAACATTTCTGCTGCCACACATCAGCAAGTGCATATTGTTTCTTCAGGATCATCAGTTCCACCTGACTTGTTTGTTACAGTATACTTCTACCTGTGCTGCATTACCATTGCAGCCAATTCTTATGCAGTATTTTATCTACATCTAAAAAGCCTTCTATTGGGAAATTCTCCTTTCTTGAGGAACAGCCACATACAGTTTCTTCACAAGACCTGTTAAATCATTTTGGTTTGAAATTTGTATATAAAAAAAGGGAAACACAGCATTTAATGAATTAACAATGTCGAAGAGGAGACAAGACAGCAGACTACACACAGTGGTCCTACAATAAGTGTAGCTACAGAGAACTGAGTGGAGGAGGCGGTGGCGGGGACTACAGTGGTGCTACAGTGAGTGTAGCCACAGAGAACTTGAATGGAGGCGGAGGAGACTCCCTTCGGCTTCCCACAGGGTAATGCTTCCACTGATGACTTGGGACAATTCAATTATTTTTTAAATGGGAAGTTTATGTCAGCAAACAATAAAATAAAAAAAGGGGGGGGGGGAGGGGAAGGTTAAGAAAACTTATTGGCATTGATTAAATACATTTGGTGCTATTTAATGTGCAAAACATAAATTACAGTACTTGGACAAAACAAATTTGATCTTTCTTGGGTTCATCTTCAAGCGTCCAATTTTTTAATATGCATTACTTAATGGTGTCTAAATAGACCGACACCAAATTTAACTGTAATCCCCTAGTCATGCTTGTTGGTGTCGAGCTTTGGTTCTTTTTGTCCCTACTCTCATCCTTCAATCAATTGTTATTCAGGCTTCCGAGCCTATTGGGCTCTATATTATCTATATTTGAAACAGGCTAAAGCTCTTTGGAAAAGTTATATGTTACTACACTGTACTTTAAATGAGGAAAGAGACAATATAATAATATACTTAAGTATAGTACACTGTTCAAATTAATATACAGTGGAACCTCGTAGGGGCCTCGTAGCCTGGGGATAGCGCGCAGGACTCGTAATTCTGTGGCGCGGGTTCGATTCCCGCACGAGGCAGAAACAAATGGGCAAAGTTTCTTTCACCCGGAATGCCCCTGTTACCTAGCAGTAAATAGGTACCTGGGAGTTAGTCAGCTGTCACGGGCTGCTTCCTGGGGGTGGAGGCCTGGTCGAGGACCGGGCCGCGGGGACACTAAAAAAAAAGCCCCGAAATCATCTCAAGATAACCTCTCTCAAGATAACCTTGATTAACGAATTTAATTCGTTCCGGCACCGGGCTCGGCATGTGAAATGCTTGTCTTTCAAAATGAATTTCCCCATTTAAAATATTGGAAATAAAAATTATCCGTTCCACCACTGAAAAACAACAATATGATATTCAATTTTTTAAATAATGGAGCAGCCTACCTGAAACACTGAATGAACCTTCATGACATTTTTCCTTTTTTCAAATTTGTTCAATTATTTTTTTAATTTTTTTATAGCAAAAGGTTTGTTTAGTGTTTGTCAGGTAGGATGCTCCATTATGACAATCTTTCTTTGTTTCAAGTGTGTTCAATTTGTTTTGCATTTTTCATTTACTTATTAATAATGGAGGAGCCTACCTGACAAACACTGAACAAACCTTTTTGACATTTGTTCTTTAGTCAATTTTTTTAATTTTTTAATTCAACAACAAAAATTCAATGTTTGCAACATCAACATCACTCTTTACATCCCAACATCATTAGCTGCGATACGCAGCAGGAATGCACCATGTGGTTTTCTCGTTAATCAAACGAGTGCTCGCCAATCGAGACAAATTGTCGTTGATCGACGAGCTCGTTACTCAAAATGCTCGTAATTTGAGGCGCTCGTCACTCGAGGTTCCACTTTATATTAAGTTATCTTGGAAGAACTTTCATCATGTTAGCATCCATGCAAAAGAAAATTGCACGAGTGAGCCAGTGAATTTAATGCAAGTGCAGTAGGTAATAAAACACAGTACTGTATATTAAAAACACACTTGACATGAAAATCCTAAAGAAAGCCAATCTACATTCTGTTAGTGGTTCTGCTGCAGTCGTGGCAAATGCTTACCCTTCTGCGGAGTGCATGCGTCTCCAAGCTGTTGCTACTGTTGTGTAAAAGATCCAGTGAATGTGCAGATGCCACACCAGAGTCCACAGAAGCCTCTGAAGCTAAGGTGCTTTGGGATGTGAGGGGAGTGAGGGGGCTGTGTGGGGTGAGGGGTGTGTGAGGCAGAGGCGTGTGTGGCGTGAGCGGTGTGTGGGGCAGAGGCGTGTGTGGCGTGATGGGTGTGTGAGGCAGAGGCGTGTGTGGCGTGATGGGTGTGTGAGGCAGAGGCGTTTGTGATGTGATAGGTGTGTGGGGCAGAGGCGTGTGTGGCATGATGGGTGTGTGAGGCAGCGGTGAGTGGCGAGGTGGGGTGCGGGGGAGGGACTGCACAGGGGAAGTGGGTGATGGCTCTAGTGGGGGTGAGAGTGGAGGCTGGTGGGAGTCTGCTGCTATAGATGGTGGGGGAAGGGAAGGGAATATTTGGGGGGGCCGGCTGTCTGGACCCTCCATCTTGACCTCCGCTGCTCGGCACCTCACCCACCTGCACACACAAATCACAAGTAAGCCACTAATACTTTACATTTTAATACAATTATGAAAATAACAGTAAGAAGTTTTTATATAATTTAATAAGAGCCTCTGCTGCATACTAATTAATACTTACACCAATACATGTAAGAAATTAGATACCACAGACAGAGACTATTTTATACAGAAATTATTAATGATATTTCTTACTAATTTTCATAAACTATATACCGTTGTTATTCGAAAATATTATTGTTATAGTATTCTCTTTAATCATTACTGAAAAAAGGATGACATGTATAAAAATAAATTAAAAAATACTTAAAAGTACAAAGATAATTAAAATTATCACACACACAGGCAAGAACACTATGTAGTGGTTAATGAAAAACTAAGAAAACTTGTTACTTTCCTAGAAATAATACAATTTTATTTCCCAAAAATACTTATAACCATAATAGAGTACAGTACTGTACCTGCATCAAAGTACAGGTACAGGTATGAACCATTATTTTTTATATAAATAATGCAGCAACAAAACATTATTTCCATTTACTTAAAAATGTAAGCTAGCTTAAGCAATATTATACATGATTGTTAAAAAAAATTAATTGTTAAATAAATTACTGTATGCTGACTATTCACCCAAGGAATACGAGCATTGTAATTCATAAAAAAGTAATTACATTCCCTAATAAAGTAAGTTGGGAAATATCAGTGAGAAACACTGGCAGAATAATGCTGGCAGATATGCCATACTGACAAGTCCAAAAAATCTTTGAGAAACATGGACAAAAGATCCCACAGAGAGCTATATACATCCTATGTGAGATATGTTCCTGAGCATGGTATAGAACCCTTGCCTAAAGAAGCTGGTAAAAATACAAAAAGATACAAGACTCATGCCGGAGGAAAGCAGCAACACAGTCACATGATTTACAATGCATATGATTGTAGAAGGAATTGACCAAGTAGATAGAGAACCGATGTTCAAAGTGCAGATAAGCAGAATAAGGAGGGAGGGAGGGGGGGGGGGGAATGTGTGGAAGCTAAGAAAGCAATGAATAATAGAAATGTTAGAAGGAAATTTTTAAATTTAAGTCATAGATGCTAGTAACGGACAATACCCTGTATTGTATGAGGAAATTGTCGAGACACAGTTTCAAATGATTTATAATAAGAAAATGAGTGAAAAGTGTGTCTGCAAAAATAACTAGGTGAATACATACACATGGACACAAACACAGAGGCATGGACACATACATGTCGTCTCCCAGAGGCATGGACACATACATATAGTCTAACAGAGGCATAGACACATACATGTAGTCTACCACAGACATGGACACAACTGCCCATGATAAATTAAATAACTCAAAATGAAAACGAAGTGTAGTAACATTTTCAATAACTAGAAAAAAAAACAAAAAAATTGTTTACTTACAAGTTTGGAAGTTGGTGCAGTCTGCTACATGTTACATTCTCATCAAGTCCTGAAACAGTAAGAGACATGAGCGAGGAATCAAACTGTCAAAGGGTGGAAGCTGTTTGTAACTATATTACAAATGGCATCATTGTTTTTGGCCTAGGTTCAAGGCGTGCCTTGTCTTTGACCTAGTACAAACAAAAAATTAAATTATGTCTTCTCCCTTGCTCCATAATAATCTTGTCAAGCATGTCCCTCTGTCTCTGGTCCAGTAGAAGCATGTCCCCCCTGTCACTGGTCCAGTAGATGCATGTCCCCTTGTCTCTGGTCCAGTAGAAGCATGTCCCCCTTGTCTCTGGTCCAGTAGAAGCATGTCCCCCTGTCACTGGTCCAGTAGATGCATGTCCCCCTTGTCTATGGTCCAGTAGATGCATGTCCCCTTGTCTCTGGTCCAGTAGATGCATGTCCCCCTTGTCTCTGGTCCAGTAGATGCATGTCCCCTTGTCTCTGGTCCAGTAGATGCATGTCCCCTTGTCTCTGGTCCAGTAGATGCATGTCCCCCTTGTCTCTGGTCCAGTAGAAGTTTGTCCCCTTGTCTCTGGTCCAGTAGAAGCATGTCCCCCTGTCACTGGTCCAGTAGATGCATGTCCCCCTTGTCTCTGGTCCAGTAGATGCATGTCCCCCTTGTCTCTGGTCCAGTAGATGCATGTCCCCTTGTCTCTGGTCCAGTAGATGCATGTCCCCTTGTCTGGTCCAGTAGATGCATGTCCCCCTTGTCTCTGGTCCAGTAGAAGCATGTCCCCCTGTCACTGGTCCAGTAGAAGCATGTCCCCCTGTCACTGGTCCAGTAGAAGCATGTCCCCTTGTCTCTGGTCCAGTAGAAGCATGTCCCCCTGTCACTGGTCCAGTAGAAGCATGTCCCCCTGTCACTGGTCCAGTAGAAGCATGTCCCCCCTGTCTCTGGTCCAGTAGAAGCATGTCCCCCTTGTCACTGGTCCAGTAGAAGCATGTCCCCCCTGTCACTGGTCCAGTAGAAGCATGTCCTCTTGTCACTGGTCCAGTAGAAGCATGTCCCCCTTGTCACTGGTCCAGTAGAAGCATGTCCCCCTTGTCTCTGGTCCAGTAGATGCATGTCCCCTTGTCACTGGTCCAGTAGATGCATGTTCCTTTGTCACTGGTCCAGTAGATGCATGTCCCCTTGTCACTGGTCCAGTAGATGCATGTCCCCCCCTGTCACTGGTCCAGTTGAAGCATGTCCCCCTGTCTCTGGTCCAGTTGAAGCATGTCCCCTAGTCCAGGTCCAGCACAAGCCTGTACTCACACTAGTTGTGCTTGCGAGGGTTGAGCCCCAGCTCTTTGGTCCCACCTCTCAACCGCCAATCAACTGGTGTACAGGTTCCTTAGCATAATGACCTCTACCATATCTACATTTGAGACTTTGAACGGAGTTTGGCTCCATCACAACACTTTCTAATGCTTTCCATTTGTTAACTACTCTGAGACTGAAAGAACGTCTACCTATTGTCTCTGTGGCTCATATGAGTACTAAGTTTATACCTATGTCTTCTTGGTTGTTTCTTCTGTCTTCCAGGGCATTGAGGGTTGGTTTCAGTAGCCTTTCCATATAGCTGATACCTCTCTCGGTTCTGGGACTAGTCTGGTGGCATACCTCCTAATCTTCTCTAACTTTGTCTTGTGTTTAACTATGTATGAACTCGAGGCTGGTGCTGCATACTCTGGGATTGGGTTGACATATGTTGTATACAAGGTTTTGAATGATTCCTTTCACAAGTTTCTAATAGCAGTTCTTATGTTGGCCATCCTAGTCCATGCTGCTACTGATATTATTTTGATGTGGGCTTCTTGGGACCAGTTTGGTGTGATATTAACCCCCAGATCTTTCTACCTGATTCTTGAAGGATTTCATCTCTCAGATGGTAAATTGCATTCGGCCTCCTGCTCTCTTCACCTATTTTCATTACTTTATACTTAATAGTGTTGAACTCTAGTCACTATTTGCCGGACCGTTTCCTAAGTGTGTCCAAGTCATCTTGTAGTCTTTTTCTATCTTCCTTTGTCCTAATCATTCTCGCAATTTTAGCATCATCAGCAAACATTGAGAGTAATGAGTGGATGCCCTCTGGAAGATCAGGAGGGCATAAAAGACATACATCAAAAACAGAATGGGGTCCAAGTACAGAACCCTGTGGGACCCACTGGCAACATCTTGCCACTCTGAGGTTCTCCCTCACAGTAACTCGCTGTTTTATGTTGCTTAGATACGCCCTTATCCACTGGAGCACCTTACCTGTCACCTTGTCGGGTAGCAACTTCTGTACCAGTATCTTACAAGGTACTGTGTCCAAGGTTTTCTATCTGCAGTCTGCCCACCATTTTCTTTCTTGCCTAATTTTTGTTACCTGGCCATAGATTTCTATTAAGCCTGTAAGGCACAATTTACCATCCCTAAAGCCATACTGGTGGTGTGTTACAAAACAACAACTCTCCAAATGTGAGCTTTTTACTCGTGATCTTCTCCATCACCTTGCATTTTATACAAGTTAGGGAAACTGGCCTGTACAGTAGTTCAATGCCTCCTGCTTGTCACCCTTTTCGTATACTGGGACTACATTAGCAGTGACCCAACGTCCCACTCGGTCTCTAGTTTTCAGTGACCTATTATACATAATAGAGAGTGGCACACACAGTGCTTCTGCACCCTCTTTAAGTATCTATAGTGAGATTCTGTCATGCACAACAGCCTTTGTCACATCCAGGTCCAGCAGATTCTTTTTGACTATATCTCTGGTACTCAAATTCTTCCAAGGTTTACCAACAACTCTCTCAGTATAGGGACTTCTCCTTGCTCTATTGTGAACACCTCCTGGAATCCTGTGTCGAGTTCCTCACACACGTCCTTGTCATTCTCTGTGTACCTGTTCTTCCCTTTTCTCAGTTTCATCACTTCTTCCTTCAAGGGAGCCGGTCGGCCGAGCAGACAGCACGCTGGACTTGTGATCCTGTGGTCCTGGGTTCGATCCCAGGCGCCGGCGAGAAACAATGGGCAGAGTTTCTTTCACCCTATGCCCCTGTTACCTAGCAGTAAAATAGGTACTGTACCTGGGTGTTAGTCAGCTGTCACGGGCTGCTTCCTGGGGGTGGAGGCCAGGTCGAGGACCGGGCCGCGGGGACACTAAAGCCCCGAAATCATCTCAAAATAACCTTCAATGTTGTTTTCCTCCTGATTTCCTTACTGTCTTTCCACTTTCTCTCCTCAAACTTTAGTAGTCATCCCTAGCCCTCTGGTATCTCCCTGTGCTCTCTGGTGTTTTTATTTCTGTAGTTTCTTCAAGTTCTTGTACTTAATTCCTTTGCTTCTTTACATGCCTGATTGTACCATGGATTCCTCCGTTGCATTTCATTCTTCTCCTTTGGGGCCGGGATAAAGTTATCTACCGCCTTCTGGAACTTCTTGGTGATGTAGTCCATTACATCTTTGACAGTCTTTTCTCCGAGTTCTGCTTCCCAGTATTCTGTTTCATAGTATTCCCATTAGGTATTTCC